GGAAGAGATGGCCCTTTAGCAAAAATAAGCAAAAAGGAGGTTTGCTCTTTACTCCTCCTGACTCCAACAAGGAGTCAAAATGATGCCACAATGAAAGTGGGAGGGAGACTTTCTTTTTTTCTTCCCCACTGGGTAGAAATCACACAAAATCGGTACATACTAGATTTTATAAGAGGTGTTCGGTTGGAGTTTCAGGCTCTCCCTCCACAAACTTTTTTTTCTTACGTCTCGGCCAAGAGATCGCTTAGAGGCAGTTGCATTATGGGCATGTGTCAAATCTTGTTTCCCAGGACGTAGTTGTCCCAGTTCCAGAGGATCAAATATTTCAGGGGTTCTATTCCCATATTTTTCTTGTACCCAAGCCAGGGGCAAATTCAGATTAATATTGAACTTGAAGAAATTGAACAAGTATCTCCTGTTCCGGATGGAGAACATATACTCGGTCCGGAAGATTTTGCAAAAAGATCTGTTCATGGTGACTTTGGAGTTAAAGGATGCGTATCTCCATGTTCCAATTTGGTCAGGACATCAAAAATTCCTGAGATTTGCCATACAGACAGGGGATTTCTCCATTTTCAGTTCAGGGCCCTGCCCTTCAGGCTCTCGACGTCTCCAAGAGTCTTTACGAAGATTCTGTCAGAGGTAGTCTCCTACATCCACGTGCAAAAGATTTCCCTGATTCCGTATTTAGACGACATCCTCCTGTTCGCCCCTTCAGAGGGGGAACTTTTGCCGGACTTGGTGATAGTCAGGGAGACGCTCGAGAGTCTGGGTTTGCTGATCAATCTGGAGAAATCTTCACTGATTTTCCGTCACGTTACAGGAAATTCCTGGGGTTTCAGATCGATTCAGTAGCCCAAAGGTTTTTTCTCCCAGAAGAAAAGGTGGCCGGTATCATAGACCTAGTTCAGGAATCCATAAGTGCGGATCTCCTGTCCTTAGGACAGGTTATGAGAATCCTGGTCATGAAGTCATGACTTCAACAATTCCAGCGGTGACATGGGCTCAGTTACACTCCAGGCACCTTCAGTTTTTTCTTCTTTCCCACTGGGATCATCCAGAAGGATTCCCTGGAGAATCAGGTCTCCCTACCCATAGAGTTGCGTCATTCACTGACTTGGTGGTTGAATCCACTGACCTTGTCGAAGGCATGGCTTGGAGTCAACTCTGTCCCGTGAAAGTTACTACGGATGCGAGCTCGCAGGGGTGGGGAGCTCATTCTCTGGGGTTACAGGCTCAGGGGTTTTGGGGCCCAGATCTTGTGGATGCATCCTCCAACCTGAGGGAACTGTTAGCAGTAAAACAAGCCTTGCTAGCTTTCCAGCCCAGGCGGGAGATTCTATTTTTCTCGGACAATGCTACGACTGTAGCATATCTAAACCGTCAGGTCCCCCAGTCTCCTGCAAGAGACGGTTCAGTTCCTTCTATGGGTGGAGGAGCATTTTGTCTCCATTTACGCAGTCCACATAAAAGGGCCATCCAACGTGGTAGCAGATTATTTGAGTCGAGCACCCATTCTTTAGGGAGAATGGGAGCTTCATCCCGAGGTTTTCTCCCAAATAGCCGAAAGGTGGGGAATGCCCTCGGTCGACCTGTTTGCAACGAGGAAAAACAGAAAAGTGCCTCTCCTTTTCTCTTTCAAGGGAGAGGGATTCAAGCGGGGTAGATGCTCTGTCACAGCACTGGGAGTTCTCCCTAGGCTATGCGTTTCTTCCTCCTTTTTCTTCTCCCTCGAGTGATTCAGAAATTAAGTTGCTCGGATTGCGTGATCATTCTGATCGCTCCATGGTGGCCCAAAAGGATGTTTCCGGAACTTCAGAGAAGAACAGTTCAGCCTCCATGGATCTTGGCCCTCAGGCCGGACCTTCTGCTCCATGCCGCTTGACGGCATGGATGTTGAAAGGAGGATCCTAGAACATAAGGGCTGTTCTCAAAAAGTGGTGGATACACTGCTATCCAGTCGGAAGCTAGTGACAAGGAGGATTTACAGCAAGGTGTGGAGAAGTGTTTTCCTCATGGTGCGCACAAAAGCAGATCTCTAGCCGTCAGTCCCAGTCATTCTGGACTTCCTTCAGGAGGATGTGGATAAGAAGTTGGCACTGAGTACTTTGAGGGTGCAAATTTCCGCTCTTTCTGTCTTTTTGGACAATAGATTAGCAGAGGGATACGTTGATTACACGTTTTTCTCTAGCAACGGAATGCATTATGCCTTTGTCAAAGCAATTTTTTCCTCCATGGGACTTGGCCTTGGTGCTGGCTGGTCTTACTAAGGATCCCTTTGAACCCATTGAAAGCTTGCCTATTAAATGGTTATCTTTGAAGATGGCTTTTTTGTTAGCTGTGACTTCAGCCTGAAGAGTGGGCGATCTCTCTTTTCTGTTTTTCAGGATCGGGTTGTCAGACCGGACCCATTATATGTGCCTAAAGTGGCCACTCCGTTTCATAGGTCCCAGGACATTATTTTGGCTTTTGTGACAATCCAAAAACCCCTTGCGAGGAAAGATTCCATTGTCTGGATGTCAGGCGATGCCTGCTGCGATACATGGAGGTCACTAAGGATTTTAGAAAGTCCAGCCAGTTGTTCGTTCTTTTTGGGGGTTGCAAGAAGGGTAGCATGGCTTCAAAACTCAGTTGAAAGCCCATTCGACCAGTTCTCTTGCAACTTCCTGGGCGGAAAAGGCCGGAGCATCTGTGGATCAAATCTGCAAGGCTGCAGTTTGGTCCAACCAGGACACCTTTGTTAAACACTACAGGGTAGAAGTCCTGTCCCAACAAGATTTGGCCTTTGGCAGTGGTCCCACCCTAAGGTAGGCTTGTGTATATCTTGCTTGTCTCTCAGGTTGCTTTCCTGGAAGATGATTGGAGAAATCTACGGTTAGTCTTACCGGTAACGGTAGTTCTAAGAATCTTCCAGGACAGCAAGCCTACTTCCCACCCTTACTGGATTTTAAATTGTCTAGTGGTTCCCCTCGTGCACTGGTGGAGGTATTCTACTTTAATCTCAACTGAGGGACGAGGGGGGTGGGAGGGGTTTTTAACCTTGTCTGATTGTGTTTCCTGTAGACTGAAGATCCAATCATCTCTCAGGTTGCTGTCCTCTTGCACTCTTCCCTCTACCCCGCCTTCTAACGGTAACCTAGCTACACACCTCAGGGTCCTACTCCTCCACTCCCCCCTCTTCCTCTATACCGCCCTCCACCAGAACCTGATGGGTCAGATCCAGACTTCTTTCCATGTTTATGCTCCGCAGTGTTTCCAGTTTATTTTTTTTTCGGTCCAGAATCTGTATAATCGAAAAATGTTTAGTGCTCTCAATGAGTACAAATGGATGTTGTGGGAGTTTATGGGAAAGTGAACTTTGAAGAGTGTGGTTCTGAGGGAACAGGCGGAGAGTCCCTGTATAAAAAAATGCAGCAATAATAAGAGGCCATCACTTCTTTAAAGGAGAACTATGAGGTGAGTGCTTTTCACTCACCTCATAGTTCTAGCCGACCTGTGACAATGAGACTGTCACAGGTCGGCTTAGTAGATCGGGAGGTGAGCAAACACATACCGGCGTTCGCTCACCTCTCGATCCTGTCACGGCTCTCTGCCGTGACAGGGGAGGGACTGGATTCTCCCTGCTCCGATCCACCAGCGCTGACTGGCGGAACGGACGGGGGAGGGGGCGGGTACAGCTGGCTCTGCCTCTAGATCCAGCTGTCAGTCACGCAGCTGGGCGGATCCCGGCACAATTGTCTGGATCCGCTTCAGCTGCGGCGTCTCAGTATACCACGAGCTGTAGCTCTCGGTATACTGAGCCTAGGGTGACGGGAGGACGATAGTTTTTGTCCTCCCGTTACCCTAACGAGAACTATGGGGAAAAGCTCATCATAAAATTAGTTTGTGTCACTAATCCAAGAAATCAAATATTGCATTCCTGTTAATCATACCCCTTGTCTGCTGTATTAGCAATCTCTACAGCTGCAAAATTACTTCTACAGCCGATCTGCAGAGGATGTATTTTATTTTATTTTTTTGTGTGTCCAGGGTGGCCAAGAGACTTAAGGATAGGGAGCTGGTTGGAATAGATTGGTAAAGTCTGTTCCTGCCCTACTCCTGTGGAGACTAAACCTGAAGTGCTCAGAAATGCATGTTCTGGCATTCCTGCAGCAGGAATCCCAGGTGTCTCTGATTCAGCTGTGGCTTCTGTACCCATTGAAGTTAATAGAGTGGCAGTGGCTGCATCTGTCAATGACAGTCCACATGCAATTGTGTGTGAATGGGGCTTTTTGCTTGCATTTTCCCCCCGTCTTATGGAAGAATATATTCACTAGTTTCTTAAAGAGGAACTTGACCCATATTTTCAAAATAACATACACCTTTACAAATGTTTAGTAATGACAATCTACAAAGAGATGCTTCTAGATAATTGCAGGTTTCTTATTTTTTTGCATAGTTTTCTTTTCTTCCCCAGTCTTCTCACATAGGCTATTTTAACTGAGGGCAGAGTACTAGATCTCTCTTTCCTTCTTGGAACTCAGGCACATTTGACCATGGACATCATTCCAGGGGAGGAAAATGCCTTTCCTTGAGATTACAGATGAGATTTCACAGCAATGCTCTGCTGATGTAACCTTCCCAGGATCTAATGCTTGGGCACAATACTTCATTTGAGCCAAACAGGACCAGGAAGTAGAAAAAAAATTGTCAGCTAGATAAAGCTGTTTAGCTAATAAAATGTAAGATTTCATATCGGCATGTAGAGTTGCATGATGATGTAATTTTTAGTCAAAGGGGCTAAAGGCCCACTTTAAGAGCTCTGCTAAAAAAAAGTCAAACAATTACTGACTACGATGTTTAAGATTTACGATTTTAGTTTTGCAACATCTGACTAAATCTGGCCAAATTTTGGAAATTATCTTACTGTATCTTGTAACTAACGTTTCAAATTAACTAATGTTTGTTTGTACTTTTCTGTTTCATTGTGCTACGTTTTTAATATCCTATTGAACATTTAGACCTGAGGCAAGAGCTAGCAGTGCAAGAGAAGCAAGAAAAGCTGAAATCTCTGCTAAATGTGAGCTCAGGAGCTGAACGTGCTGACACTGCTGTCCGGGCATCCACATCTCTGCCATCAACACCTTTGGGTCAGAAAGGAATATCCCCTGAACAAAACTCGCCAGTGCAATTCAGGGCAAGTAAGTAGAGAAATTTGCTTGATGAAGTGACTACTCTTTTCTCCCAGTGTATTGGTCATACTTGGTCTGTTTATCTCACTGCATTCAATAAAGCTCTACAGAGCAGTACTTTGTTCCTTTTTGCAACTTTAAGGAAGTCCTTCTTTTTTTTTTTTTTTTTTTTTTTTTTATAAAGGTTAAGATGTCAGATTCACTTGTAAATGTAAAGATTTACATTCACTCTCTAAATGCCTTACATTCTCTAAATCACCTATTCATCCGATTTTTTTATGAAGCCAGTTTCTTATTTATTTGCTTTTATAGTGGGTATGTTATAGGATATGCATATGAACATTCCTCACTCTGACCTGCGATGTCAAACTGTTTCCCATAATTTCCTAAACGATGTATAAGGTAACAGTGTTGAAATGCAGGCATCATATGGTTTCTAAAAGTATCAGTTTTCATTTTGATCTCTGGAGCTCCTTGAGTCCAAGTCCAGGCAATACAGAGAACGTATTTATTTCTAAATATTTAGCTTCACCCCTCCTTGGTGTTAAGCCTGACCTTTTCCATTCGAATCTCAAATACCAGAACTTCTGTGGACTCTGGCATTTGACAGTTTGGAAAAAGTGTTTAGTACTGGGATGTGGCTTAAAGTGGGTTTCCACTTTTGCAACAAAATTGGGATAACACACATGTTTGTTACATGTTCTCATTCACATAGCATAACTTAAAATCTGCTGCTTACCTATTACTTGTTTTCTCATGTTAGTTTTTTCTAAACTGAATTTTACTTGAATGCAAGGGGTTGGGGAGGTTACCATAATTAGCCCTGTATATTCTCTTGTAAACTAGATTTAAACACCTTCTGTCCTAACGGAGGGTTAAAAATCTAAAAGCATTGTATGTTAATGAGTGTGCTTAGAATGTACCTAGTCTTTGTAGGGGTGTCAGTCTAGGAATTGGAGCACTAGGGAACGTAGGCTCTGGGGCTTGGAGTGGGTTGGGACGAGCTTAGCTGAAGTGATGCCTGGGATGCAGGTAACAGGGAACTCAGGAGCTGAAGTGACTGTGTGCGTTACTTGGGATGTGCTAGAGGCGCAGGATCTAAGGAGGGCAGGGTCTTCACCAGAGTCTCAGAAGGTAGGGATGTTGCGCTGCCGGGTACCTCCCAGGTTGCTGCCTTTTAGCACACCCCTGCAGACAGACTGGCTACTGCTGCACTAAGGTTCAGGATTCAAAGTCAGGCAGGGAAGAAAGCCTATTTACAGACTGCAGATCAGGAGTACAGGATACTAAGGAACTCAGAGGTAGAAGTCTATACGATAATGTGATGGGAACACTGGTATACAATAGTCTGCAATAACTGTCCGAAATTCCCTGAAGCAGACTGAATGCACCATGCGGCCACATGGGAGCAGGACTGAGACTCGCAGGGAAAAAACACAGGTGCAAGAGCTCACTGAAGGAGGTGATGACAATCCACTTGCTGGACATACAGGATCTCACCGGGAGCACAGAGGAATCTGAGACACAGGGAACAGCAGCACTTGTAATTAGCAGTTTGCAGGGATCCAAATCAAGAGTTTTAAACGACACCCAATGGTCTGGCTGAAGTGTGAAGATGCGTTGCTCGAATGGCGAGCAACAAGTGCGCTGGTCTTTTAACACAGAGGTTTAGTAAGCCGAGCACCTTGGATAGGAGGCAAAACCCAGCGCCGGACCATTGCACAGGGATGTGTGACATGGGGACAGTCAGTTTGCCTTTTTTAAATTGTAGAGGCGCTTGTAGTCTGTCCAATGCCTGCTCAACAGAGACCTCCTGAAGTATTTTCCTGCTGCACAGGAAGACTATAACCTTTAGGTTATTCTACAGCAGTTGTGGACACTAGCAAACGCAAAAACCGTAAGCCAGCCCATGATAACCCCTCCTTCCAGTATTCCTCAATTTTGTTTTTTTTGCTAGTCCTAGTGGGTTTTTTTCTTTCTTTCAATGAAGACCGTTCGAACTGATCCTTACAAAAGCAGTTACCCATAGTGCCTTTCCTCTGCCTAGCTTTCATGTTCCCTGACCATCCATGCGGGAATGGATGGTGTGGGGTTTTAACCCAGTGACTTTCTGTAAACTTATCCCCTGGTAAGTTAAGTTAGCCCCAGAGCCATTGGCATTACTTCAGTGCTTGCTTTGTCTCTTAAGGCTCACTCAGTGAATAGGCGAGTCGGGCTGAGCATACTTAAAATCTCCACTTCCTTTGGTTTATACTATTGAGGGATTTCGTTCCGACACTATCCACTGGGTGCAGTATCATGCATGCACACTCCAGGTTTTCTGTCATTCACCGTCAAGGAAGCATCTGCCCGCTGCTCCTACTTTGCCAAGAGCCACATGGAACGCTGATTTTTGGTCCTTTCCTGCTGCCCACTTAGTGACTTGGTCACTTTTTGTTCTTTTAACCCTACACTTGCTACCAGTGGTTGGGTTTCATGTTTTGCTTAGTACCCAGAACTACATTGCTTCATTGCCAGTACTTTCACCATGTCGGATTTTCAAGCATGCCTACCACATGCAGCCAATGTCTGCAGCCTGGAATAGTCTGCTTCTAGTTTATGCCATCTTTGCAGTCTTCCCTAGCTGTGTCTGATGTGGGTGTCTCCTCTTCTCTGGCCAATGAGGGATTTTACCTCATTCATACATGACTTTATAGCGGACTCTGAACACAGAAGCCACAAATGCCTTCCCAAGCTTTCTCCCATATGTTCTGCATCAGATATGCCTGCTGCCTCTGAGCCATTAGCTACTGAGACTGTCAAATTGAATCTCTCCACTCCCTACCAGATGAACTAGCACCCGAATGATCTCAATCTTCTGTCGTAGCTCCTGGAATGAAAGGGTGGTTGAACTCTTATTGACGTGGTACACACCACTTTAAAGCTAAAATTTCAGCCTGTTTCTTCCATCAGTGCTTTTCCTTGTCTGGTGTCCTTTTTAGAGGTTGTAAAAACACGAACGAACACCTTTCCAGTGCACCTGCTGTTGCAGGTCTTGCTTTATGTTTATTAGCTTCTTAGTGCTTATTAGCCTTGCACCCATTTGGGGAGGACTTTGTTAAAATAGTGGTCTGCTACATTCTCAGACACTCGTTCTTTAGCATGATCGTTTGCCCCCACTTTACAAAGTGATGGGAGGTCTGTTAGCGTTTGCGAACGCTTGGACAATGTATGGCTCAGACGTGGGTGTGGTAGGTGGTTTCCGGGTGCTACAAGCTTAGTTTTACCCAGAGCTCCCTCGGTTCATCACTTTCAAGTTACCTGTGTCCCTGCACAGATCGCCAGACAGTTGAGTCTTCTGGATCATGTAATTTCCCCAGTCCTTGTGACACTGGTTTAGGAGTTCTATCCCCACCTGTTTGTTGTCCCTAAATCCAAAGAGGACATCTGACTCTAAATGTCTTCTTTCGAATTCAGAAGTTCTATGTGGAAACCACCAGGTCTGTTAACTCGCTCCACCAGGAAAACTTCCTGGCATCTGTGGATGTCAAGGGCACGAACCTAAGTTTTTTGGCACTGGCATTTAGTCTCTTGTCTGCATCTCGGGTGTTCAACAAGGTCCCAGTAATAGTACTGCTGTGGTCTTGAGGCATTTCCAGGCGATGACCTCTTATTGAGGTAACAGTCGGCACATACAGTCCAGACCTTTCAGAGGATCTTTAACCTTCCAGAATCTGCACCGAAACAGACTCCTTGCTTGAAGTATCTGTATCCTGTCCTAGATGTATCTTAAGCCAGAGTTCTTCTACCCCAAGATAAACTTCAGGCTTTTAACTCCCAGAATCTGGCTCTGCAGTCTAGAAGTCGCCTAACTCTTGGCTTTTGCATGAGAGTCTAGGGGCTAATGGTGGTAGCTTTTTTCGAGGCAGTCACATTAGTCCATTATCATTCCAGACCCCTATAACACACAATACTGTCATTGTGGGACAAGTCGGTCCAGTCCCTGGACAGACCAATTCATCTGGCATGTCAGACCAACTTTTCCCTGGCTTTGTGGCTCATGAATTTTGGCTCTGGAGTCGAGTCTTTCCTTACAGTTTTTTGGAAGGTAGAGGAGATCCTGTCCTGTGCAGAACTTGACATTGCAGCCTTGCCTGCCATTTATGTATGTGTACAATTGGCAGGCAGACTTGGCAGGAGTTGTTCCAAGACTTGAATCACAGTTAGACTGTCACATGTGAATCTCCTAGAGTCCAGGTACAACAACCTGCGCAAGTTTCCTGGTACAGTGATCTTCTAACGGACACAGTTGGCTCCATGGGATCAGTACACCCTGATCTATGCCTGCCCTGCCCATGGAACTGCTTCCCCTTCGGTTTGCAGGATCAAGATGCAGTGCATTTCAGTGGTTCTCATTGCTCCAGATTGGCTTAGGCAGACGTAGACTCCATGCTGTTCAGACTCCTGGACAACACTACATGGGTTCTTCCAGATTTTTCTGATCTTCTGTCTCAAGGACCAATTTACCATACTGCCTTGCAGTTGCGGGCTTTAACAGGTTCTGAGGGACATGAGCACCTTAGTCTAATTTCTTCAAGCTAGGAAGTCCTACTTTTTTCGCAACGTCCATCACCGTACATGGAAAGCATACTTCACTTGGTGTGAAGCACAAGGTTTGCACCCTAGGAGATTTATTGGGATAAATACATTCCTTCCTTCAACTGGGTCTAGCCATTATTTAGCCCTTGGCACTATTCAGGATCATCTCTGCTTCTGCAATCTTGTTGACCGAATGTTTACTCTGATTTAAAAAAAAAACAGTATTTTAATTTATGAAAACAGGCAGGGATCTGGAATTAAGGAGGTTCCCTACTAATTTTCACAAATCAACTAATAACTAGTTCTTGCGCTAATTTGAAGACTAAAAACAATGTGCAAAATAATCAAAATAAAACTGGTGACAAAGAATATGGATTCAAATTTTGACCCCCTCACCTTCAATCCCGGGATCCGTCAGGAGGTAAGTTGGGAGGGAGGTCAGCATCTTCCTCCTTGCTGACCTCCCTCCCATGATGTGAATGCAGAAGTAATGTGTATTACATCACTTCCGCATTCACCTGTCAGTCATCTGGCTGCTATAGCCAGAGAGAAGAAGCTGATGAAGCAGATCTCTGCTTCATCAGCTTCTTTTGGGGTCCCCAGGTAACATTAGGGGTCTTAGAGACCCCTGTCTCCATAAAGAGGACCTGTCAGTGTGCCTTTGCTATTATATAGGGGATTGTTATCCCCCTATGTAATAGCAATAACTAAGTGTAAAAAAACAGTAAAAAAATTTCACATAAAAATTTGTGTTTTTTAAAAACTTTATGTCCCCCACACTTACGCACATATAAACGTAAATACGCGTTCACATGGGAAAATGACAATTGCGCTACACATGTTGCATATCGTCGCGAACGTCTGAGTGCGAGCAATCATTTTAGGGCCATCAATCACTGATGAGCGATAAAAGCTTTTAAAACGTCGCCTATGGCCAATTTTGGGTATTGTAGTTTTGAGGTTTCGTGCCCGCGCACAATTTTAAGGCTTGACATGTTTGGTGTCTTTTTACCCGACGTGAGCCCGTCTTTTATATTTTACCAAAAAATTGAGTAATGTTTTATCATTTAATATAGGGGAAACAGTTTTTTTTTTTTTTTTTTTTTAAATTCCGTAATTTTCCCTTAGTAAAAAATAAAACCCCCAGTAGTTAATAAATACCACCAAAAGAAAGCTCTATCTGTCCGTAAAAAAATGGTATACATTTTATTTCAGTGCAGTGTTGCATGACAGAATAAACATCAATCAAAGTACTGCAGCGCTGAACACTGAAAAATGGCCTGGATGGGAAGGGGGTTTAACACCGTGGACTTGAAGTGGTTAAGATCTATCATGATTGCATAGCTTGTGGTCCCCAAAATCTGGTTCCATCCGTGCATGTATAGGAACACACTACTAGATCTGTGAGAGCCTCTCACATTCTATAAGTTCTACCAGGTGGGTGTCCAGGCTTCATCTTGTACCAGCTTCAGGAGGCATTTGGAGCTACAGGCAGTCCCTTTCCCCCCTCCCCCTTTTTTCTTTTTTTTTTCTCTCTTGTGGTTTTCTTGGAGTTTGCTGTTGCCCAACCCTGGACTTCTTTTGCATGTACCAATGGTTAGTCTTTCTGTGTCCATCAATGGACAAAGAATCTTTCCTTAAAATCACCTTCTTGGAGTCCATTGAAGGACAACTATCTTACCCCTCTGTTTTATGATTGTGCTCTGTTCTGCTTTTGCTAAAAAAAACAACCTAAAGCATACTGGTAGTAGGAGACATCACCCTGGGCAATTCTACAGTTTTGTTTTGTTTGCCATTGTTCAATACTCCTGTAAAGTTAATTTTTTATTTTTTTGGAGTACAAAAATCCACTTTTAAATCAAATTTTCTGTTTCTATATTCCAGATTTGGATGATGGATACAGTGGGACGCCTTTGACACCATCTGCAAGAATATCTGCACTAAATATAGTAGGGGATCTTCTTAGAAAAGTTGGGGTAAGGTTTGTTGTACATATGATGGTGCTATATTTTTTTTTTTTTTTTTTGTTTCCTTCTGAAAAACTTCTCTTCTATGTTGCCTGTAGCTATGTCCAGTGATAATTGACTTGGCCAAGCAGTCACTAAAATATGGAAAAAAAACTAATTTCAATTTATAGGTAAACACTTGCACCATCTCAAACTTAACCTTCTGCAGATCCAAGATTACTTGTGAGCCAGACGGTTTCGTGTAAAGCAAGCTGTTCTTTGCCAACATCTACCTTGCAAAAATATTGGTGCTGTAAACAGCTAAATTGTCCTCCTGTAAGGCTAGTAAAGAAGTTATGTATTTTATGTTTTTACAGGCCTTGGAATCTAAACTAGCATCCTGCAGAAATTTTATTTATGAACAGTCTCCCAGCAAGCCGGTGACTCCCCTGATGGCTCGAGTTCACAAGCTTAGGGAAAGCAATGAAAACCGTCCTAGTATGTCTCCAGGCGAAAAGAGGCAAGTTTTGTTTGTGTTTTTTTAATGTCCTAAAAGACATCTTTTTGATTCCACAGTCCACCTTTTTTTTAAAAAAATTATATTCCTTTGAGCTTATCACTTGGGTATTTAATGTACACCAAAATTATACCTCCCTAGGACCCCATATTTCTGAACTTTGCTGTTTGCACAATCAGCTTTTTAAAATATGTAACCTGATTTACATTTTCAGGAAAATTTTATATTGCCATGCCTGTCTCTGGCTTCTTTTATGCACATCTCTGTCCGTCCGTCCCCCACCCAGGATGTGACTGTGCTGGTACATTTAAATAGTGGACCCTGAAGGCTTTTGCTTTCATATACCACCTATTGGCCACCTTGAAACTTCGACCATGGAAAGAAATGCAGGAAAGTGCCTGCACAAGAACAATATAAACTCTTCCAATTACAATACTGGATTGCCACTCTCATTCATGGAAAAGAATCTGATATTTGGTCTCTGATTTATATATGGTCTAATCCGCACCCTACTTTACCAAATTATATGTAAAGATGCCTGATATGGCTTACTTTTCAATGAGATTGAATCCCTGAAAAATACCCAACATTGTTTAGCACCATTTTTTTTCTTTATATGGCTGTCAAACCAGTTCTTATGAAAGCCTTAAATGTATGTCCAGAAGAATTTTATAGACTAACATACCTATAAGATTTATGATCCAGCATGTCAAAGTTATAGAGAAGATGGACAACGTTATGATTTAAAAACTTACCAGTATCCTGCTAGATACTGGTAGAAACCTTTGAATGTTTTGCCCACCTGAAGATTTACTTCACCAGCCTTGCCACCTAAAAGCCTAATTAGGGGAGTGAATTTGAGGACTTTTTCAGTTATGGGACAGGAAGAAGTATCAATGGACTGCAAGTATGGTGATGTAACCTCACTTTAACTCCATTGAGAACTACCATTTACCCTGCTGCAGTGGAAGATGGGGACTTAATCTCACCATGCATAGATCCTGTGAATGAATGACGTGGCTGTGCAGGCGAAACCATGCATCTTTAATAGTTGCCATTTTCCTCTTAACTGTTTACTTTTACCTGTTGCATTGTCTAAACTGTAAATTAAAAGGTAAACAATAATGTTAATATGCAAATTACTTTTATGTAAGCAAAAACTATTATCCTTTTTGTAAATAAGTTTCCTTTTAAAAAAAAAAAAATGAATAAGATGGGAAACAAATAAAATCCTTTCCTGAGTAATGTTAAATCTAAACCATTTTGTATGTTGCATCACATGATGCTTTATTTACCTTATCTTTGCATTTCCCTTTTTTGGTAAAAATGTTTAATTTATTTACAGGCTAGCGAAAAGACTGGATTTTGTGGCATCGGTGTCCCAGAACATTCCTGTGCAAGGGATGCACTCTCCTCAGGGTGTAGTGAAGATGATACTGTAGGAAATACAACACTGGACCTTGCTGATTTTTAGTTGAATTCTAAAGTACTTTTTTTTTGTTTAATAATGAAGAACTCCACGATATGATAACCACCCATTTCCAGAAGCTTTCATTTTTTGAGTTCAGAGATTAAAATCCTTTCATACGAAGTCAGTATATTTACAAGATGGCTATAATGTATGTGACCCCAGCAGAGGCTTTAAGAATGTGCACAAGGCAAGTGGCATTGTTTGCTCTTTTAATACCAATACCATAATACCAACTATCACACAGCACAAAATGTCTTAAACTTTCTCTTAACCGCTTGAGTACCAGATTGGGGCAATGGCCATTTTGTACCAGTGACATTTTGAAATGGCTCCCAACGGCTTCTTCAAACGTCAACACCCCCCTCCCCTGCTCCATGCATCACAATTTAGCACTAAAAGGATATTAAAGCTCTCAAGAAGTAAACCACATACATTCACTTTAAACTTCACCATTTTGCTATGTTACATAAAAAACAGTAATGTGATAGAATGTCTATAGAATTTGGTCTGAAAAGTTGTTTTGGTAATTTATTATAGGCTTTGATTATAGGAAGGGGGTGTATATTGTGCTGTATGACTGATTACATGCCACACAGTTGGCTATATGCTGCTTTAATGACGCTTTAATTACATTCTTGCCTCAATCAAAAGTGAAAATTGGTTTAGATTTAAAAAAAAAAAAAGCAGGTGCACACCCTTTTAAAGTAAAACAGATTCTAAGATGCACGGTTTTTGTTTTTTTTCGTAATCATGTGTTCCTATTTATTTATGCACATTAAATTATCCTCTTTTATGGCTTGGATACTCGGTCAGTGAGATGCTTTCTGGTAGCAACTCTGTTCTGATCTACCTCCAGAATGTTTTTATATTTCCCTCCCGACTTAGTGTGTAAAATAAATATAAGTAAAATAAAGTTAAAGGAGGGTCTGCAGTATGACCACAGCAAGAATGCAAAGGAATAGGAATTCAAATGCAGGGATCTCACTAGTGAAGTCGCAAAAGATATAAGAAGCCGTCGGGTTAATCCTCAAACATATTGAAATTTGTTTTGGGTGGACTGAAATTTGTAATTTCTCAAAGCACTGATCTTGATAACAGTGAAACTAGCTATTTTTACATTAATAAAGTGTGTAGACCCCATTTCATTTAATAAACCGATTAATATTCATATGACTGCACTAGATTTGCACTAAAGCACTCTTCAAATGGTTTATTTGTAGGAAGATTTAAAAAAATCATGCTAAGCGAAACACAAAGCCTGCCATTGCTGATTTCAGTTTAAAATGACTAGTTTTCTGTCATTCTACTGTATTAACTACATTACTGGCCTGGAACATGCATGCAGAAGGCAAAGTCGCAATCCCTGATCTGCCTGTTTGTTGTAAGTTAGGTACTCAAAAATGACTAGCTTTTTTTAAAATCAAAATGACAGGTAACTAGCATTTTCATAGGGCAACTAGTATTTCCATCAATGGAAGCTCCTATATATCTGTTGCTTTGTTTCCTTTTAGAGATAAATTTTTATCATGTTCTTGCATTTGTTTACCTTGAAAGATTTATAATTGATTTTATGAGTGGCAGTAGAAAATTGTGTTTTTCAGATAATCCTACCTCTACCGAATGTAACTGTTAAACTAGGCTAACCCTCTCTCTTGTGATTTCAGTACAATGCACTATAATGTGTGGACATTTTATTTTTATTCCCTACCATTGTATATGCGTGGATTTTTAAATAAAAAAAATTTCCTTAAGCACCAAATTTATTTTCATGACTATATTTACTTCCAAATTTAAGAGGTTTTTTTTTTGGTCTGGTAGGAAACTGCTGACCTTTCCTTCTATCAAAGGTGGTTGAAAACTCAGCAGTTTACAAAAATAGAAAGGACTGCAAGGGCTAGGACAGTGGTAATGATGGGTGATTTTAACTAACCTGAAATTAATTGGCACTGCTGCAACAGTAAAATGGTGGAAATGTATAAATGTATTGCAAGTCAATTTTATGGTCCACTATAGAAGCACACATTAGAAATAGTGCTCTGTTCAACCTGTAATTCTCAAACAAAGCGGAGCTTATTACAAATGTTTTACGTAAGAAAATCTAGGTAACTGTGACCATAATAGGATTTCATCTTGTTTCGTTTCTAAACTGGCACATACTGGAAAAATATAACGCAATTTAAGAAACCAATGCTGAGGGCTGCTTGCCAAGACTAAAGCTGGCCATACACTGTATTTTCTATTTTATTTTTTAATTTGTTCAACTTGCGAGCTCTACAAAAATAGAAGATAATCCTCTATCAACACTTAGGAGCTTTGATCATGGAATCTCCCGCTGTCTTTGCATCCTGTCAACAGATGCTGTAAGAATACCCGAACAGAGCTGGCAGATGACTGGCTTTGTTCAAAGATATATTTTTTTTTTCTTATAGATTCTTAACCAAGATTTTCAAACCGTTATAAAGGAAAGACCAACGCAAATAGAGCATGAACGTAATCACACAAGTTCAAACAGGTAATGAAAACATTTTAAAAAAAGAGACAAGAGACCTCCACCATGTCTCTACTCTAAGAATCTAACTGGAGTGTTGAAAGTGCAAGTATTGCTAATTGGGGGCCTGAGCCAGTACTAGGGAAATGGTAGAGAGTAGAATGGAAGTAGGCAGGTGAGTGGATGAGCATGAGGGAAAGAGGAGAAGAAAAAAAAAAAGCAACAGTGGTACAGGAGGGGAAAAAAGGTAATGGGAAGGGGGTTAGATGAGGTTGTGGAAGGGCAGGGATAAGGGTGCCAGAACAGTGGGATCTCATGAACTGATCAAAATTCCATATTCTTCAGTCATTACAAACTCAGACCAGTAGAACCACGTTGATAATTTGGCTACGGTCCCCTTGAGAGAGAGCTGGTAAGGTCCTCCCATGTGTTTAATATCATTGACCCTCGCAAACCGGTAACGGAAAGTGGGGGTGATGTTTGTTTCCACATGAAGGAAATACAACCCCATGCTGCATTCACATAGTGAGTGAGAATGGAATGTTTATATGCCTTCAAGAGTGGTGGTTGTGGTGCAGCAGAAAAAAGGTGGGGTCCATTGGAGGCACTTGAAGAAAGATGGGCTGCATCGTTGAGTCGCCAGAAGAAAGCCATTACTACGCAAATGCTACATTTGGAGAGGAGTCAACAAGGCCTTTGATGAAAAGTACACCATTCCTACTGTGAAACACAGAGGTCGATCGCTGGTGTTTTGGGGATGTGTGAGCTACAAAGGACCAGGAAAGTTGGTCAGAATTGATGGCACGATGGATGCAGTATGTTATCAAAAGATACGGGAGGACAATTTGCATGCATCAGCCCGGAAGCTGCGCATGGGACGTACTTGGACATTCCAACATGACAATGATCCTAAACACTAGGCCAAGTTGACCTGTCATTGGCTACAGCAGAATAAAGTGACGGTTCTGGAGTGGCCATCTGTCTCCTGACCTCAATATCATTGAGCCACTCTGGGGAGATCTCAAACGTGCAGTTCATGCAAGACAGCCCAAAAATGTACAGGAGCTGGAGGCTTTTTGCCAGGAAGAATGGGCAGCTTTACCATCTGAGAAGATAAAGATCCTCATCCACAAAAGACTTCAAGCTGTCATTGATGTTAAAGGGGGCAACACACCTTAAGAACTGAGGTATGTAAACTTTTGATCAGGGTCATTTGGGTAGTTTCTGTTGTCATTATGATTTGAAAGAGTAAACACAGCTGATTGATAATAAATGGCTTCAGCCAAACACTACCCATGAGTGACAGGTTTTCATGTTATCATTCATAATCTCTGAAAAATGGCCAGGAAATCATAAATTCTGCCAGGGTATGTAAACTTATGAGCACAAGTGTATCTAGAGAATGGGGCAAGGGAGTCTCACCAATTAGGAAGTGTAAGTATACCAGCATAGCTGACCAGAGTGCAAAAACGGAAGCACACTGTAATCTTCATGGAAAATCCAAGATATTCTATAGTGTACCATCAAAAGGCCCCACATACAATCCCTAGGTATAGACACTAGTCTGTGATGCCCCCGAGGGACCAGCTAACCATCCGAACTGTTGCAGAAAACCCAAAGGTAACAAATAACCATGCAAACCTCATTCTAAGCGGTACAAAGAGCAGTAACATGGCAAGGCATAACTGCAAAAAAAAACAGGAAGAACCAAGGATCATCCTAACGTAGGTAATATGGGAAGACTGGTTGAATACCCAGAATCCAGGTAGTGCCGAGGAGTTGGAGCTATATATGGTTGAACAGAGCCTCTGCGAAAGCACAACACGAGCTAGCATTGTCCCTTAAAGAATGGAGAGAGGCACTTGGAAAGGCTGTGGGACTGTCCCCGGCAGATCCAGAGTGCTGAACTTGTACCAAGTCAGAGGCATGGTAGCTGGAACGTCATGGCTTAAGAGCATTGGAATCCTCTCCAGGGAAGAAGCACAGCCAGTCAGGCACTTGAAGTGGAGCAACATCCAGAAAGGAGCAGAGTCCTAGGACATTCTTGGTGGATTTGACTATTAACGTGTCTCCCTCTTTACTATCAATTTGGTGGATGGGCAGGATTTGGAGGACGGAGGAGAGATCGTCTCAGGGTGTTTCGGGAGCGATCCTGCAGCACTTGAATAAAAGCACCATTAAACTCAACCAGTCGCTTTTGCCATGCTTTGGGAAGGATTTCCTCCTTCAAGGTAAAGTAGTGCACCTGACAGATGACATCTCGAGGACTGAATGAGTCAGAGAAGCGAGGGCCCAGGGCTCTGTGTACCCTGTCTAGGAGGATGCCAGCAGGGGCTGTCTCTTCCAGCAGGTTACTCAAGAGCCCCTGTATGGTGGCACGGAGATGAGGCCGGAGTCGCCTCCAGAATTACCCCAAATACGGAGGTTCTTTCAGCTGTTGCCGTCCTCCAGGTCTTCTATTTGCAGCTGTAGCATGGCCGGGTGAGCAGGGAGCTTCACAGTAGATTGTTCAAGCTTATGTA